TTCTTTTTTTTTTTTTTTTTTTTTTTTTAATATAAGCTGAAAGTATATTTATATTAAGTGGGAGCGGGAAGTTGAGTAGGGGCGGGGACGTGCGAATAGAGTCCCGTCCCCGATCCCATTTATCTAATAATGAAAAATGTTTCTCACTCTATCCCTCGTTCCTCGTCTAAACAATCAATCTCCTCCCCATTCGGGACAGGTCCCTTCTCACTCTATCCCTCATTCTCCGTCTAAACGATGAATCCTCTCCCCATTCGAGACAGGTCCCTGCAGGTAAAATAGACATCTCTAGTCAAATGGTTAAAATTAAACAACGAATCTCCTCCCCATTCGGGACAGATCCCTACAGTATGATATTCTCGCAATACAAAAAAATTTCTCATGTCGTAGTGAAAGTGTTGAGTTTGAGATGAAAGGATAAAAAAGGTGGTATGACATGGACAATATTTAGTCGTTCTTTAGTTTCGAGGTTGACTCAGGTTTTTTCTTAAGTGAAAATTTTGAATCATTCTAATGTTATATTACGAAAATAGCTTACAACACAAGCTTAGTACCAACCAAAGTAAACATAGCTCAACGATATCATAACAAAAAAATATATAATTTTTTTTTTTGTTTTGTTCTCATACGAAGGTTAAGTGCATTACCCTATCCAAATCGTATGTTTCTTCCCGTAAACACCGTTTAAAGCTGCCAGCACGACCTTTCGGTTTCGATCCACTCCTCTATCAAACTTGAATGACGACAAGGATATAAAAAAAGTATTGAATTATGTCAGCTGCAAGCCCACATGGACTATGTCCTATGAAGCCTTTTGCTTGACCACTTCATGGTGGCTTAAACCACTGGAGTAAAGCACTCCATTGGGAGAGAGGACACGCCGAAGAGCGTTAAGAAACCGAGCCTACGCAAGAGAAAGTTATTGCACAAGGTAAGAAAAATTGCTATTACAACGCACACACTCGATCTAGATGAACACGAAAGAGAATACACATAGAAATAGAAATACAGTAAGTAATTTTCAAAGCCTAATAAATGTACATGTGGTTTAGTTTATATGTATTATAGCTTTTTACTATAGCTATTTACTACCTATGACCATTTACTTTATATTCATTTACCAACCATTCACGAACATATAAATAAGAAGCATACTTCATAACCTAACACTATTTGCATTCAACTTAAAAGAAAGTAGGGATATTTTGTGTATACCCATTGAAATCCGACGAGGGCGAACCAGCAGCCCCCCAAACCATAGCCCCAACTGCTTATAAACTGGGGGCAAGCAGGAGAGTTAATGCACAAAGAGAAGAAGAAATAAGGCGTGGGAGTAAGGTTGGGAGATAAAAACATTACCAGCAATAGAATGGCACCAAGAGAAAAGCATCCACACATTGACAAACTAATGAATTTTAGGTCTCGTCCAGCCTGCAAGAATCGAACTTGAAGACTTAAGGAAAGTTTGATGAATTCAGCACAAGACTGAATTTGATCAACACCGACAAATGTCACTCAGGTACTCCAAAACAATGAGCCAATGACATAACATTTTAGTCACATAGTAACGGCTCAAGCCCACCGCTATCAAATATTATCCTCTTTGTGCTTTCCCTCAAGGCTTTAAAATGCGTCTGGCAGGGAGAGGTTTCCACGCTCTTATAAAGAATGTTAAGTTCTCCTCCCCAACTGATGTGGGATCTCACAAGCCACTCTTGCTGGCACACCGCCTTGTATCCACCCCCCTTCGGGGCTTAGTCTCCTCGCTGGCACCGGTGTCCACCCCCCTTCGGGCCTCAGCCTCCTCGCTGGCACATCGTCCAGTGTTTGGTTTTAATACCATTTGTAATAGTCCAACCTAGAGTCCTTGCTGCCACCCGCCTTATGTCCACCCCCCTTTGGGGCTCAACCTTCTCGATGGCACATAGTCCAGTGTCTGGTTCTGATACCATTTGTAACGGCCCAAGCCCACCACTAACAGATATTATTCTCTTTAGGTTTTCGCATTCGGGCTTCTCCTCAAGGCTTTAAAACGCTTCTGCTAGGGAGAGGTTTCCACACCCTTATAAAAGAATGTTTCGTTCTCCTCCCTAACCGATGTGGAATCTCACATCTTCATTTCTTTTCTACCCTAACCGCTAGTGGGGGAAATGCATCTATGTACTAAATCATCACCCAGAGTATTTACATTTGTCATTGAATCAAAGATGAACCTAATTGCACGCAAGAAAGAATTTGGGAGGAATTTTGAATGGGGTAAAACCAAACAACAATTATTTCTAAACTGAAAAACCATCCTTGTTCCTGCCCTTCCCCCACTCCGTGAACGTCCAATTCAGGCACAAAAAGTAAAGCAAAATCTTTAAGGTGAGCAAACATACCAATAATGACCCTTCTAAGCTAAGGGTTGCGGGCATTATGACTAGCGCCAAGAAATATGGAATCAACACTTTATGCATCTGCATGATCAAAAAAATGAAGTTATTTTAGGAGAACAATTACGCATTTACAACGCAACATGGATTATTTATCATGATGAAAATGCAGGGAATCAAAAGAAAAGAATAGAATGATATTGAAACAATAATGGTTCATATTCCAAATGTCATGGTATGGATATCAAGAACCAACCTCTTGAATAATCTTCTTATCGGGCGTAAAGAGATTAGGGAACAACCAAGGAACTGATGTTCCAATAGTCCCTAAGACCAAACCAAAGATAGCTCCTATGATCAAGAGTGACTTGAGCAGCATCCGAGCCTACACAACATAAAAAGGTTACACAATAAGTTCATACAAAATTGGTATTTATTATTATACTCAACGCAAGCATCACTAAGGTCATAATATCTTTCTCCGGCAAAGGTCGAATAACAAAACCATGTGAAGCAGACCGGCAATCAGATAATACCAAAGGCAAGAATGGTCCGTGTTAAACGAACACGACTCTCCACAATGGTATGATATTGTCCACTTTGAGCATAAGCTCTCACGGCTTTGCTTTGGGCTTCCCCAAAAGGCCTTGTACCAATGGAGAGAGTATTCTTTGTTTATAAACCCATGATCATTCCCTAAATTAGCCGATGTGGGACTTTCATCATCCAACAGTCCGCACCAGTATGGGGGCACGGTATTTTAGGCTCCCCCCTCTCGTACGCCACCGGTTAGGTAAGAAACAAACTAAGGTTTACAGCCATAAACTACCCGCCATTTGTTAACGACTATAAACGTAAGGGAGTTCCTAAGGTTTATGAATATCCATAACATTGTAAGGAATCTATTTCAGTTAAATGAAGTTGGTGTGGCTATATAGTACCACGCAACCAAAATTCCAAAAAGTAAAAAAGTTGATAAGCATATCATTAGAAATTAGAGTTCTCACCTTATCAAAACTACGATTCACTCCAGTTATCAACCCAGGCATGAATGCCTGAGCAGTTTGAGAAAGAGGTTCACCCAATATGCTACACATGTAGAATATTTGATTCATGACCTAAAGTACATGACAAGCAATCAATTTGACATGACCATTGACTTTCAATAGAAAAGAAAGGGCAGACTTGCATGCATAAAAATGAAAATAACCATGAAACTTAACCTGATGAGCAGCCATGGTGTGTGTGCCCATAGACGTAGCATAATAGATGAGGAGAGAATAAAAGCCCACCTAAAAGATAATAATATTAGACATGTAACGACCAAGCCCACCGCTAGTAAATATTGTCCTCTTTGGACATTCCCTTTCGGGCTTCCCCTTAAGGCTTTGAAACACGTCTGCTAGGGAGAGGTTTCCACGTCCTTATAAAGAATGCTTCGTTCTCCTCCCCAACCGATGTGGAATCTCACAAGACATGTTACTCATATAAGGTGTTTTACAAAATATAACCTTTGACAATATTGTCATAAATACAGGAGCAGCAAGTGCAAGTATTGACAAGAATTCAGCAGGTGAGGGAATAGACAGAGAATATCCACTGTATCCTTTCTTGTTCAGTGATTCTATCATCATATAAGCTGCAATAACCTAAAGCTCGTATAGGAAAAAAATGAGATCAGTTTTAGGTGTGAACAAATACAAATGCAGTGAAAAATAGGCACATTAACATAAACAGAAAGAAGGGTACCTGTGATGCCATAGTTGCCCATGCAGCACCAGCTATACCATATCCTAAAAACATGCATAGAACAATATCACCTATGCCATTTACAATACTCGCAACTGCCAAAGCCTTCAACGGTCCCCAGGAATCTTTCATGCCAAGACTAACACAAATATGCAATTAGAAGTTAATCAATCTGGTGAATTTTCAAGCAACTGGTACTGCAAGTTTTCACAAATCGTATTTTATATTGTTCATTTTTGGCATGTCATCACAAACAGAACAAATCTACAAAAGTAAATTTAAAAAAGTAGATGGAGCATGGATCTAGTAATAGAAATTAGGAACCTTGCACTCTGCGCAACCCATCCAGTGAGAACTGCGGGCCATGCCAAACCACGAATCTACCAACAAAAAATGATTCTGTTAAACTTAAAAGTCATTGAACCAAGAAGAAATCAAGGAAGCATGACAATGTATCAGTATGCAATGGTCACATTCTTGGTGAAAGCTCTGTGTGCCACCAGAAAGTGATTTTATATTCACTATCTGTGCAGGAAAAGACACTCATATCACCAGTTCACAATCTATAGGTACAACAGAATATATGATTTTAGAGATTAACATCTTCAGTTATCCTGACATAACTTTATGCTTCAATAGTTATGATTATTGTGATACATGTTAGGCTAAAAATATGTTTTTGTTCCTATGAGTGTTTTTTCAAATTTGGCCCTATTGTTAAAAAGGTCAAGATTTAGTCTAGTCCTTCATTATTGGTAATTTTTAAAATTGCTAATGATAAACATACATAACATAGCACTTAGTAAATTGACGAAAATTTGGAAGAGAAAAAAAAAGTCGTCTAAGAACGAATTTTTCTTGTTGGAGTGTTGATATAATTAAATTTACCGTACCTCCTCTAAATTCTAAAAAAAATGGATAGAAATTTCGAGTTTTTCTTTTTAGATGAGGGACTAAATTTCTATACTGAAAAAATCATCTCGTTCTTTTAAAAAACGAACCTGCATATACGTGTTTGCAGCAGGTATGATGTTTGCATTCTTTGTCCCCACAAAAGCTGAAAATTTACAATGACATCTTGTTAATGGCATCCCTCCTACTTTTAACAGGTGACAAAGTTCTAGCTATCTATGTGGCGAAGAACTTAAAGGAATAGTTCATAAAACTGATGAATGTAATGAGCCCTTCATTTAACTAAGAAAGAATGTAGAAGTTTAGTACCAGTTAGCGCCACTGAACCCAATAGTTTGGTAGCTAAGAGCATCAAAAAACCAGATACCAACCCAACAAATAGCAATGTAGATATGTGATGCTGCACTTCGTTTTTATCCTGCAATAATCTTACTGGTCAAGCAATGCAGCACAATTATTCAATAATCTGTACTAGGAAGTCCTTCGATTATGGGTTGAACCTGTTTGGCAAGGGCCGTGGCTACCATATTTGAAGTTGCAATACTAAGAAACATGAACACAAAGCTCGTATAATCACATAAAACTGTCGCTGGGCCTGCCAGCCAAAAGTTTCAACAGATGCAGTTCAGAAAATTAATATTCACAGTAGCCACCAGATAGAAGTCACAGTTTAAAGACGGTAAATCAAATATGGAAAATTGATATCTGATGTCATTTTTGTTGAGGATCGTTGGGTGGGAGTCCCACGTTGGCTAATTGAGGAAATTGAGGAAATGATCATGGGTTTATAAGTAAGGAATACATCTCCATTGATATGAGGCCTTTTGGGGAAGTCCAAAGTAAAGCCATGAAAGCTTATGCTCAAAGTGGACAATATCATACCATTGTGGAGAGTCGTGATTCCTCACATTGTATCAGAGTCATGCTTTTAATTTAGCCATGTCAATAGAATCCTCAAGTGTCGAACAAAGAAATTGCTAGCCTCAATGTATAGTCAAAAGTGACTCATGTGTCGAACAAATGGTGTAATTTGTTCGAGGATTCCAAAGAAGGAGTCGAGCCTCAATTAAGGGGAGGCTGTTCGAGGACTTCATAGGCCTTAGAGGAGGCTCTATAATGTACTTTATTCGAGGGGAGGATTGTTGAGGATTGTTGGGAGGGAGTCTCACACTAGCTAATCTAGGGAATGATCATGGGTTTATAAGAAAAGAATAATCTCCGGAGGCCTTTTGGGAAAGCCCAAAGTAAAGTCACTAGAGATTATGCTCAAAGTGGACAATATCATACCATTGTGGAGAGTCGTGATTCCAACCCGTTTTTAGATTTCAAAATAAGTAATTAGCTCGTCTTAAGTAACTATAGCTCATAGCTGGTTGAATTCGAGTATTCGATCCAGTAGATTGGAAGCAAGAACCTACTGTTTTCTCGATCCATTAGCAATATTCAAGTTAAATTTTCCAACCCTTCAGATTCTTATTCTTAACAAGAATCACAAAAAAAAGCAGAAGTAAGAGAAATTCACGAGAATACCCAAAGCAGCAAGCTCAACAGCGCTCCCCTGGCCAATAACCGCAGTGTCAATGAGACTCATCAACGGTCCACAGATCCACAATCCAATAGCCGGACCAGTAAAAGTTACAATCTCCTTCATCTGACTCAACAACCCTTGGATCCCCAATTCTTCTCTTCCAATCCCCAATAACTGCTCATTTTCCTGCACTTCATTGTCAATCTCATTACTGCCTTCCCGCTCCTGATTATCGCGAGGAACCGCGAACCGACGGCGAACCCGCGGCGATACATCGACGGATAAAGGGGAGGTGGTGGTGGTGGAGAAAGAATGGCGGGAGAAGGGAAAGGAACGGCGAGGGAATGGTCCGAGAACTCTAGGGATATGGATTCGAGCAGCGATTGAAGAAGGACAATGGAGGGTTCTGAAAGACATCTTTGGTGCCTGGAAATGGATCGGAGCGAGAGAGAGCGAATGCTCCGCCATGGGAGTGTAGTAGTGGTAGTGTCAGTGAAAGAAGGAAGATCGAATATTCAAAGAGGTGACGCCACGTGGATGATTATTGGCCAATCATTTGTGAAATTATGAATTTGGATTAAAAACACCGTTGATTCTTTTTATATGTTAGTTGGAGTAACAAATTTAGTCAACGTTTATATTTAAAAGTCAAACATAAATTAATCGGTCATTACTTATATTTTTGATCCATAAATAAATATTCGAATATTTCATCCTATGATATGATTTTGAACCTGAATAAATGTGTTTTATAGTTGAACCGATCAGCTAAAGTGAGCTTAGCTCGTGGATGATCGAGCTAAAAATTTTAAATTCTCGTGCTTTCTCATTTGTTGTATTAAAAAAATGAACTAAAATAAAATGAATAAGGAGTACTTAGGTCGAGGAACCGAGTGGGCCCCACAACTTACTAATTTCAACTATTGCTCGTGTTTCACAACTTGATCCTTACTATCAATTACTTTAAGAATTTCTTAATCATCATATCATCGAGATTACTCTCATTTAAAGATGGTATCGGTTCATTCATGTATCACTTCTTTATTCGAGCGTCACATGCCCACCAACCTTCACCTTAGTTCTTTCCCGAGCTACATCCTATTGGAAAAGATTCCGGTTACAATACCATTTGTAACGTCTTATCCATATAATTCCTTCCTCCTTAGAACCCAATGACACAGTTGTCCAACCGAACATATCACGTTCAAGTAAGCCCGACTACTCGACCTAACATCTTTCTCGTACACCCTTAATTCCCTTCCTCCCATATCTTAAAATTTTGTTCACCGCTTCCCGTCAGTGGCTTTTCAGATTTAAGAGCCATGTTGAGTTGAACACATGGAAGGAAGATTCAAACATCTAACATCTGAATTAACGATATGTTATTAGTCAATTGAGCTCTATTCTGATAGCAATAATTATCGTACATGTGAAATTTAAAAAATAATATATTTATTTTATTATTTATAATTTCATATTAAATTTAATAAATCAACTATTTTATTCAAATTCAAAATTAGGCCAAGTCGAACGACTAAATAATAATAAATACCCTCACAAAGCAAACACCTTATTTTAATATTAAAATATATAATTTTTTAATAAACGTAGAAACCACGTCTTTTTAAATTTAAATATTAATTATTTAAGTAATTAAAAATATTTTAAACAATGAAATCCTAAGGCCACGTTTGGACAACGTGAACGATATTTTTCGAATAAATAAACGCTTTTATTTATAATTAAGCTTTTGAAAATTACAATTTTTTTTTTTTTTTTTTTTTTTTTTTTTTTTTTTTTTTTTTTTTTT